TATTGATATTTTTCTAGTTTTGATTTAAGTTTGCTTGTTTACCGTCGTCACAGTTGCTAGGTGACAAGACGTACGCCAGGGTAAGGAGGGGAGGCTAGACCGTCCAAATTCAGCTTGGAGAACGTTTGACATGTGCTCCTGCAGGAAAGACTCAAGTTGATGAAATCTGAGTATTTGTGGTTTTATAAAGTGTTAACGTCTATGTGTGCTGAAATATAGTCTAAATACTCTATCTCCTTTAGCTACTTTTATGTCATGTTTAATCCTAATATAATTCAAAGATAAAGTCAATCTGCACTGGGCCAGTGTTTGACTGTCAGTGAAATACAGTGTTTCTGAGGACTGCAGGAAATTACAACCTATTAACCAGGGCAACTATTGTGGGCCAAATCAAAAGGCTTGGTCGGCCAATTTTGGCCTGCTTTGGGCACCTCTGCTCTATGGGAAGAGTGTGTGGCAAATGTCACATTGTAGTTTTTTATGACAGTGACAACTCCGCAGCTTTCCTATAATTGTTTTTGATTCTTGTGACAAATGTGTGTATGGCAAATCTCATTGTAGCCTGGCTGACAAAGCAAAACATGTCTACAATTTGCTCACAGTAATTTGAGCTGATAACTTTTGTTTTGCTGCAACTCACAGGAAGTATAAAACCAGTGAGTATTATGGAGAAGTGCTAAAAACTGTGGCCTGTCTCACTGCTGAGATGAGTTGAACAGCTTTACTGAGGGAGTCTCTAAAATGTATGTGAGGGGTCAGTTTCCTTAAGAGTCACAAAATCACTAAGTCCTCATGGGGAACCCAACAGAGCTGTTTTATTTACACCTGTGAGGAAGCTCTCCTCTGACAGAAAACATCCAAGAGTACAGCTCTGAGCGTCCAGGTCCAAAAACCACCCAGGATCTGTAACAGTCAGTAAAACGGTTACGGCCAGAGGTCTTTCTTCTATGTTTATACTAAAGCATGGAATGACATTCCTCAAAACATAAAGTCCATTTCAAAACTACAGCCCTTTAAGAAGAATCTTGTCTGACATTTGCTGGACACTTTCTGTTGTGCTCATATTTAGATGTCCTATTTTGCAAATGCTGCCTTTTTGAAATTTGGTATGCTTGTTTGTCTTTGTGTCTATGGTGTATAATGATGTGATTGTGATGCTGTATTTCTGAGTGTTTTATGTGCTGCAGAACAGGAACCTGCTGTAAAACAGCAATTATGCTGAGTCAGGCTTGATTTTTAATAATCTTTTCCTGTTAAATAAAAAAAAATGTGAGGGTGCTTGTCAGGGGGAACACAAATTATACACACAAAAACAGGCAGTGATTTAGAAACACAAACTGCAGTTGGACGACTTGCTTGTTCGGTGAAGCTGTAAGATAAATTCATATTTTTTCACAGATCTCGAGTTGCCAACTAGTCTCTGGTGAAATGCTTGTTCATTATTTTAAATGACTCTATATGTCCCTGTGGAAACAACATGATGGTGCAGACTTATGACTGACTGACTGGGACTCACACGGAGTACACAAAAACCTATCACAAAAGGTGAGGATATTAGTGTTTGTTTGGTAGATTATTTCTTTGTTCTTGACAATAAATCTTATAGCTCGTACCTTATTGGCAGCAGAAGCTCAAAACAAGAGTCAATAACAGCAAAATAAGCTGTTTGACAGAGAAGAGTTGGCTATTTTTTGATGTACATAACCTGCATCCTCAATGCTTATCCCACAAATGCATGTTCCTTACAAACGTGGCACCATTTACAAAGGAAATTAACAGGCTTTCCATCAATATTAGATTTACTGCCAATGCAACTGGTGTGTGTGTACTTTGTTATAATTTCAAATGTCATCTGTTATTGAGATAGTTTTTATACCTGGCTGTAAACATGAAGAAAACCACTCTAAGTGTTGTAGATATGTGACCTTAAGATTAGAAACCCCTCCTTATTTCTTCTTCTGTGGTATTATTTTGTTAAATTGTTTGTACTCCCTGGGCTCCTCCCCTTTGAATCTTGTCCTGTGGGAGAGGTGGGTGCTATTATTCTTCATCATCAAGTGCATTTTTATTATTATCATCACTGTAATATATATGGATATTTGAGTGAATTTATAGCTGTAGAGTAACAGAGATTGATTTTAGTTTTGCCAGATCATATTGTGGTTGCTTTTCTGTTTATTGATTTGTCAGAATGAACGAGGGAACAGCTTCTCCAAAGACGACCAGTGTCACGTCAAACAACCAGCAGAAAAGATCTGGTTACACCAAGAAGCGCAAATAATCTACCAAACACTGAGTTTCTTACTTTTTGTACCTAGTAGACCTCTGTGCACGTGCATATACGTGCACTAACAGTACCAGCAATGAACCAGCAGGACCAGTCAGTGGACCCTGAACGCACCACGTGACATTTCATGTGGCCTTTTGTGTTGCTGCAGATATGAGAGCTGGAAGCAGAGACACATGACTCACACAGAGTTAATCCTCACATTGCTTAATGAGGAGTTAACACACACTGACCTCAACACACACACACACACACACACACACCTACACACACGCGCACAAAGCAGCTTTCATGGCTACAAATACATTCAGCGGTAACATTAACGTGAGTAAACTTTTACGTGTAAAAGCATCAGAAGAGACAGGGAGACCCTCAGGAGGCTCAGTTGGTTCTGTCCCAGACCCCCTCCCTTACCCCCCACCCCCACATCCCCATCTGCCCCCTCTCTTTCTCTCCTCCACCTTGTTTCATCATCACCCTTCTCCACTTCCGTCCACCCCACCCCATCTGCCTCAGCTGTCCCCCCAGTTTCCTCCACTTCCAAACTTTAACCAGTCCCCGCCATCTCAGCCTTCCAGCACTCCCCCCTCCCCACCACCTGTCTCACACACACACCTCACCGTGGCCCGCTCTGTCTCCGCTCCTCCGTCCCGTCCCACAGTCTCCTCCTCATCAATCCTGATCGATGCAGGGGGGAGAAGAGCGAAGCTCTCCAGCTCTGTGTTGTGGGAGCAGCGAGCGCTTCGGTTCTCTCCGTCCACCCTTCCTCTGTCAGTCTGGCCACAAACCCCTCTTTCCTCCCTTTATCCCGAGGTAAGATACTTACTTTTCAGATAAAGCATATTATGATAAATCGGCTGAACTCGGTGCGTGTGTGTGTGTGAGAGAGAGAGTGTGTATCTGTCTCACACACTCACACATGCACTGTTAGCACACAGTGTGCACACAGATATACAGAAACACACTATCGAACAACATTATGTCAGAGGTGCTCAACAGCTGGGTGTGTGTGTGTGTGTGTGTGTGTGTGTGTGTGTGTGTGTGTGTGTGTGTGTGTGT